AAATAATCAGCTCCAATTATATCTACAGTACAATAAACTAGCACATATTGAAAGCCTTGTAACACTCACAAAATGTCCTGATTCACCCAAGTACACTAACAAATTTATAGATCCCAGCTAATTCCCTTGTAAATACACTTTCAAAGAACAAGAACCTTTTTATGTCTAACAATCGGCACTTTATCTATGGCTTCACCATCAAATCAGGCATTCACGACTCTTCAGAATCTTGTTTGCCTTCAAAGATTCACTGTACAAATTTACCACACACGTAACACTGTTCTTGCGAATTGTTCCTTATTACTATACACGTAAGGTACAATAGATTGCAAAACTGGCGCAGTTATTGGGCTCTAAAACGCGGAGGTGCTTTCTGTATAAGCAGGTCTTTGTGATGGGACCAGTTTAGTGTGAGCTTCCACGGCCCCCTTATTACTTATCGATGCTGGCGTAATAGGGGGTGGTGTTGGGAGATCGGGGGGTTAATTTAGTTCTGTCGCCGGGACGAGGTCGTGTGACAGAAATGTTCATAAGCCGACACTGGAACTCTGTTATTGGACAAGGGAGCATTCAGGATGGTCTCTCGGTTCGCTCTATGTATTCTTTGTTGCAATGAATCGCGTTTGTATTGACAGATGCTGTTTTTTCTTCGGTTATGGCTGAAGGCTGTTATAATATTTATGTTAATAATCCCCACAGTACAAGAATTGCCACGTCTGTTAATATTTGCCCGTGTATGTGCAGGGAGATCTGGTTTTGTTTGTAAGACCGCTCAAACTATAAGACTGGAGATATTTTAAAATTTATCTTTTAAATATTTTGCTATTCAAATATTTCTTTATAATAAAATGTTGGCATTCATAAATAAGAATAATTCACGAATAAGTTTGTATTATGTGCTGCTATAATAACAGATATTGTAGCTGTTATTGTCAATTTAACATGAAGTGTCCTCGAAAACCAAGTTGCGCAGAGCAACTTGGTTTCCTCGTAGGTTTTATTAATTTTATTTTTGTATTACATACTATAGCTTTATACTCTTTACCTACCATTACATACGCTGACTTACTAACTAAACCACTAACTGAACTAACAGTGAATGATTAATATACTACTTCAACAATGAGAAATGAAAATAACAAGCCGACCATTTGCGTAATCTCAAATTTGTACAAGTTAAGGAACCAGTCAGTTGTTGAGATAACGTTTAGTACGTTTGTATTTCCTTATCAAAAGAATAACGTTTTCAACATAGAACATTGCTCTTCTTTACCAGAACCTTAGTTGTTTTGCGACAGATAACGCAGCGGGCATGGAAATTCCTGGATATTCTCACGTTGGAAGATACTTAAAAACCAACTCCATAAGGAATTTGTTTATGTAACTGGATGACAAACAAGCTGATGGTCCAGCTAGTGGTAAATCTTTTAAGTATACAGGCTCGTGTAGCAACCATCTATACTATAGAAAGTTGCTACGCTAGTGCACATATCATTATCTTACTAATATTATAAACGCAAAACTTTGGTGACGATGGATGGATAGATGGATGGATTTTTGTTACTTTACACAAAATCTGTTGAACGGATTTCCATGTAGATTTCATCAGAATAACACATAGGCTATAAATTTCATGCGGGTCAAACCGCGGGCACAGCTAATTTATAATAATTATAGGCATAGGCCATTAATAAATCTAATGGTAATCTACGCCAAAAGTCGGTCACTTTCAATTAAAACAGAAATTTTAATATTTACAAACTGATTTTGAAAAGTGTTTTTAGACTTTTAATGACTACTTTGATGTAGTATTGAAAAGGCATATTGTGATCTTCTAGCTGGCGGAGAGTGGAGTATAATAAAATGAGCATGAAGTGAGGTCAGCAACCAAGCCTGGTAAATGCCAATATACCATAGTGGGGAACTGCGTTGAGGTCAATCTAACATGGTATATTGTTAGCAATGGAAATATTAGTCCGTATTGCTAACAATCCTCTTTCTCCCGAAATTACAGAGTAGGCACGTAATCATGTCACCTTAGTTCTCTGGAAGAGTAAAGCTTAAGGTATGCCACTAGCATCACATGATGATATAATATCTGTAGTGGTGTTTATTTGTATACGCAATGATTGCGTTTTTTTTGTGATTCCAGATATATAAAAAATGTTATGTACAATATTTTTTATATATTTGTTGTTAGCATAGTAAATATTTAATAAACATTACTTTGATAATAAAAGTAAGGATAAGGATAAAGATTGGATATATAATACTTTAACAACTTTATTTTTATCATTGCAGATTAAAGTTCATATGAACTATTTTTCATGATAAGCGATCATTACTATTCTACCAATATTATAATACTTGTAAGTTTGTGAGAGATCTTTCACATAAAAGTCTGAGGATTCGAATGAACAAATGTATTATATTGGTAATATAGATTATGTTCTAGATTGACAATTTATTCAAAAATTAAAAAATCATCTTTATATGTGATGTCCTTTTTTACTACATCATCGCTTATTATTCAAACTATTAATAAAGCAACTCATATTTATATAATCTGATTTTCAATCTCATTTCTAGTAGCTGTATCATACTTGACCTCTACCAATTGTAAATTATCATTAACAAATGTAGGATTGCGTAGGATTTAATAATAGAATTACTAGTATACATTAGAATTGTATGTACATTAATCAATTATTATTTTATATAACGTACAATAGCATTCACACTCATCACCTGCAGTAAAGTATTATAAATAAAGTTTCTTGCTTTAAAACTTTTAAAGTCAAGATTATGAAGCACAAAAACCTTGGACGAATACATGCTTTTATATTAGCTCTGTGTACTTAAGAAGATATCAGCGATCATCACAGATGAATCATGAGACCTCGAGCAATAAAAACTCTCAACCCTTCTTGGAATTACTGCGTTGAGCACACTATGTGACCAGAAAACCTAATACAATTAACAATGGTTGCAACAAAAAACACTGACAGCATCTTAGATGAATTTGAATTTGTAAATGTTAACTTTTTTGAGAATCCTTTATTATAAAGCAACTGTAAATGTTGAGCAAGCCATCTACAATATTAAGTCTACATTATTGATGAACCGTCAACGTGAAAAGGGTTCTAATGTTAATCTAAAATTAGATCCGATACAAAGTTTACTATCAATAATTCAATCGGATGCAACTTTATCCAAAGATCTTCATCGGACACAAAACCGGTTCTGTTCCAACACAGATTCGGGCTCACAACGACATGAAGTTATTACCATTAAATTAAAATATTTACAATCAGACGCCGGGTGCATTCGTTTATTTTTGCATGACAATCAAATATCACATACATAGTTATATTAAAACACATTTGCATGATCCTTCAGGGCAGACTAAATGTTCTTTTATTCATGCTCTTGAATCTGACAATTCCTGTTTGGTAACTTCGACGGTGCCAACGAGATATTTTTTCATCGCCTCTGCTTTTTATTCTGTTATCGATTATACGTTACGACTAAATACAACATACGATCAAAACTGGATTCCAATTTGATGTACTAATAATTCCATTAGAAATCCAATCACAATAATGGGAAAATTTATCATATCTTTACTGAAGGCGTATCACCCTGGCCTCGTTTTAGTTGCAATTTACGTAGGTAGACAATTTAATCCTTCCTCGACGTAAGGGAAGGCGTCGTGCCTTCAACTCACTTCTGAGAACATATTTCAGCCTGTTTTACTTAAGTAGGCGGCACCGTCGTATCGTAGATTGAATGAGTCAGATGATATGGGTGTGGGAACTTATATTACTTTAGACACGAGAAATATGGGCCACTAACAAGTTTATCTGAAACTTAAGTACCTACGTGATTCATATAGTGAACGCTATCTCGGAAATGTTCTCCGTTGCCCTCAAGTTGGACGAAAGCCAGTGCCTAAAATCGTACTGCGGGCGTATTTGAACTATGAAGCCGTGTTTATACACCGTATCTTTTATTGCTCCAGCACACTCAGAGTTCTCTAGAGACGTGAAGACATTATGGGCAGCGATGCCTTCCTAATGTGGCATATGTGGCCGCGAGGCGACCCGAAACAGGCGGAATGACCAGTAATCGTCGTGCTGATGGCAGATAAGCGCAAATGAATATGTAACGCCCGTCCTCCCACGACCGAGCACAATAAAACGAGTCTGACCCTATAAAATAAAAACAGGCAATTAATATTGTTTATTCGCGTCCGTTATTCAGAGCGGACACTAACAAACGATGTCTGCATGGATTAATGCGACTCTACTCATCTTGCACGCCGACGCGACGCAATGCTGACACCCGAGTCAAAACGCAGTCAAATATTCCGGTTGTGTAATTCCGTATACGCACTTATAACGGAACATCCAGTTATGTTAATTTTAGCCGAATTTCACGAGCCATCTGACGTAGTTTTGAAAGTAGATTTTAATCGAGCCATCGATCGACTAGGTAAGGTTTAAAGGGAAATTGCATACGAGGAAGCGTTGCTGTGGAATCGTGGCTTATTGTTTATGAATGCGGCTCGCTCTTGATGCACGGCAATTACCTACGATTAATTATTAGCTGTGCGATTCCTCATTGGTCGGTAGGCGTCACGAGGCGTGTCGCAGGGTAACACTATCGGACCACTCTAACCTAGTTCTATAGATTGATGTATCATGATTAATGTCTCCTCGGGAATCGATCGCCGACTTATCTGTATCAGGACAGATTAATCTACCGCTTACGTCATTTCAATAGTGATGCATCAACTATGGATGTGGGCCATGGGGTGTCGGGCTTGCGACCAGCCCTGCCAGTTCCTAATCTCTTGAAACTTTTACAAGCAGACGCATGAATAATTCCCGAGAGGAGCAGCTATCGATCGCATACGTCGAGGTTTTTATTTATACGGCGCGGGTGGGCGAGGCGCATATTAGTAAACAAGCGCAGGCGCGGCGGAGGCGGACACTCACCGACTTGTAGCACGTTCTCCACGCAGCCGGCCTCCAGCAGCTTGAGGCCGCGGCAGAAGGCAATGTTGCGGTGGTCGTCGGGCGGCGCCCGCGCCAGGGACGAGTACATGCATATGTCACGCTCGTCCCGCGGGAACGACCAGTACACAACCCGCCGCTGCACAGGTTCAGGGATGCGTTCGTAACGCTCCTCGATACGTTGGAAGGGAATAGTCGCGGCTACTATTTTTGCTGTGATATCTAACAGCGTTGCCGGGGCGCGCGGCCGGCAGCAAGCGCGCGGCGCACACACGGACATGGCGCTCGCTCGGCCGCTCGGCGCGGACTGACGGAAGGCCGCCGCTCCCCCCCTCGCCGCTGACCTCACCCCCCGCAGCGGGCGCCCCCCGAGCCCCGAGGATGCGCGCCCCGAATCGACATACCGCGATAAATTATTCATTTGCCGGCATAATGTGCGATATATTATTAAAAGTTGGCATTTTTGTGTTGTTCTCCGGTGGTGAGGAATAAAATCGATAACTATGTGGAAACGAGGTGGTTATAATTTATTAAACGAACTGGATTGCAGTGCCGCCAGCTTTCCTATTATAATTTAAATTATTTATGAACTGTCGGATATGTAACTGACTATTCTTGATCGCTTTTCAGTTCATAGCTAGTAATGTTTAATATTTGCAATAGAATTCTATAGGTATGGGCTATCTATAATAAAGTGTAAAACAATAAAGTAATAACCATAATAATAATTTTATATTACATTATTTTATTACTACAAGAAATCTTAATAACATTAACAGAATGGGTGATGATTAAGTAGGTTACAGTAATAAAACGAAGGCAAAATAAATATCATAAATTTGTTCCTAATCCATTTTAGCCCTGCCTCCTCACATTACACAAACGAAGGGGAAAGGCCGGCGGGGGGCGGGCGGGGGTACATTAACAGCTGATGACGGCGTCGAGGGTTGCGGGGGAGGGGGTATAGACGTCAGGTGTGCGACCTGCCGCCATGCGCTGCTCAGCTGAGATTTGGTCGCTCAGCGCTTCAGCGGCTGAACGTTGCGCGGTGTGCGTTGACCTTTTTGTTTATCGTTTATTTTTACGTAAACATTACGTAACATTATTATAGTCTTGGAGTCTTATTGTAACATTAAATTATAGCATTTTTTAATTACGGGACCTATATAATTATTTATTATGATTTTATTTATTTTGTAAACTTATATATATATATAACAGGAGGAATATTAGATTTTTAATTTATAATATTAATTACGAAAAAGTAATATTGAACTTTAATAATTTAAATCAGGTAAAATGTTTTTTAAAAATATTTTTCTTTTAACGTATAAAAAATCTACATTGCCAGCGTGTAAAAGGGTTGTAAATTATATTGAAGAAATTAAGAAATCCCTTCAATAATTGCACATGTGGGAAACGATATTAAGATTAAGATTTTAAAACAAGACAACCCGCGTCAAACTTAATTTTAATAATATTATATTATAAACGCGAAAGCTTGTGAGTATTTGTTGCTCTTTGACGCAAAAAGTACTGAACGGATTTTGATGAAACTTTACAGCAATATAGCTTATACATCAGAATAACGTCTGATGCATTAACTAAATTACTGTAAAGTTTCATCAAAATCCGTTCGTTCTATTATATTTATAGGCTATATTTTTTATTGAAATTTAACACGTGTGAAACCGCGGGTACGGCTAGTATTTCGTAAGTAGATATATAGGTAGGTGTAAAAGGGTAATATCAGTAGGTAGTAATCAGTACGATACCAGCATTCTGATTTATATTGCCTGATTACTGCTAACACTAAACCCAGATAATTACTAGGTATACCTACATCTAACAAATCTTATCACTAGAGGACTATCGTAAACTAAAATTTATAGATAATTAGATAGTAGTTAGGGGAGAGAAGGGATAGTTAGCAATGGAGTAGCGGTCCGCGTCAGGTCGACCTCCACGCGGTCCTCACAAATATATTGGATAATGATAATAACTTTATACATAATCTAACTGATTGAAGTGTATGTTTGTAATTTCAAATTAACAGCTTTTCACTTGCATATGAAAGTGTATATACGGTACTTACATCAATTAATTAATATAAATTTTTTATCTCTCTGTCTGTCTGTTTTGGTCCTGCGAATCTCTGAAACGGTTGCATACATTTTGATGGGAATTTTACTCGCACATAACTAATCTAAAAAGGAGTTATGTAGGCTTGTCTTATTTTAGAAATTTAGTTAAAAAAGAAGTTAAATTCCACGCAGACGAAGTCGCGGGTAACTAGAAACTTGAAATATTTTAAATTAGTATATTATTTTAAAGTAATTAATTTACTGGTAACAGTAGTTTACCATTTACCATCAGCTGAGCCGTATGTTTGTTTGCCAGCATCGTAGTATAAAAAAAGTTTAATATTACACATTATTATTTAGGGCCGTTAATATACTTTTAATGGTAATAGCTCAGATAACATATTAGTAATCGTTTACCATTTACCATCAGCTGAGCCGTATGTTTGTTTGCCAGCATCGTAGTATAAAAAAAGTTTAATAATACAGTCACATACATAGTAAATATTTTTGTAAGTACTTACTACAATAACACTATTAAGAAAAGTAGGAATTGTCTATGGTATATAAATCATTATGACGGAGGAGTCACCGTTACTGGCGTGTAGTGTATGTTTGAGACGTGTTGTGAATGTAAATGAAGCTACAGATCTCAGGATAAAAGCCAATGTTACTTCGTTTTTTCTCTAATTACTTTACTATGCCCATATTATCTTAATTTCTTCTCAAGATATTTGTAAAACTTAGTAAAATAGGATTATGTTTATAATCTTATTTAATCACGAATATAAAGAGTATGTTTTACATACAGAATAAGGTCCGACATGTTTTGTATAGTACACAGTTACCTAGATGCATCAATGTAAATACTTGCTATTAATTATGGATAGAAAGACTAATATAAATGTTGTCCACTAAGTACTGAAGAAACTTTGTCACCACACCTTTTCCTACTGTTATTTAATATATAAGATCAATATTATTATGTACATTTTGTCAGTTCATTATCATCTGTAATATGGTGTATATTACAGATGATAACTGACAAAATGTCTCAACTGACTACATCGTATTATTACTATCCCTCATCATTTAGTTTATTTATTATTTATGAATAATAATGGAATGGTGCACCCGCCTGCGCTACCGGTTTACACTGGCGGGGCACCAGTGGAGGTGTAAGGTCAGGTCAGTTAGCCCATCATGACAATTTCACCAAGAATTTATCACGATGGTTTCCAGGGAGAACCGCGTGGAAGTCAACCTGACAACCTGTCCACATTACTAACAATCCCCTTTACCCCCAATATTTAATATTGTAGCATACAAAATACTCTAATGATATAGAAAATATTAAATATATATGTTCAACATATGTGTTTAACATATGTGTTTAACATGTTTTGCAATCTCATTGCTAGCAATGTACCATGACAGGTTGACCTCCACGCGGTTCCCCCTGGAAACCATCGTGATAAATTACTGGTGAATTTGTCACGATGGGCTAACTGACCTGACCTCATGCTCATCTTATCATCCTCCACTGGTGCCCCGCCAGCGTAAACCGTTAGCGCAGGCGGGAGCACCATTCCATTATCAACCATTAAAAAAAAAACATGTTTTGCGGCATAACTTAATAATAAAAAAACAACGGCGTAAGAATTAAAGTAACAATATATGTATATATGAATTAAAACTAGTAATAAATAGTAAATTACGTCAAATTTTATTATTTTTAAAGTCCAATGTATAACAGTAACATTTGTCGATTATTAATTCCTGTAATTTACATTTTTGTCACGTACACTCGCCATTTTGGCATTTGTGTTGCACCACATTGTGGAATCACTTTCCACCAATGGAATTTCCGAACCGATACAATATTGAAACCTTCAAAACCTTATTCATTCTTAAAAGGCAAAGGCACTTGAAATTCCTCTGGTGTTTGCGGATGCTCATGGGCGGCGGTAATCATTTACCATCTGGTGAGGCAAAAACTTGCTTGTCCCCTATGCTATGGTAGATTTCATCAACTGCTAGGACTCTCTGCCTCTATCCCACTATAAGTCAATTGCTTAGTAAGGCAGTTAAAGTACTGGATAAGAAGTGTGTCATCTTAGTCCTGTCTGGAATAGCAACTCATGAGGGGCATTTGCGTAGTTAGTGCCCGGGGGCATATCAAAAAATATTTTTTTTAAAACGCACATATCGCTATCCGTCAAATTGACAACACTGCCAACCCACAGAAAGAATTTAGGGGAATTCTGAAGGTATAACTTTTGAATTTCTTTCAACTGAGTTGCCATGATTAAAGTCAGGTTGCAACCTGTCATATTTATTTTGAAAATGGGAGAAATGTTCAAAAGTTCTGTTCGATCGAGATTTTCTATTAAGGGTCGAGGGCCCCCTGAGCTTGAGGGCCCCGGGCACTGTCCCGTCTAGCCCCTAGGTAGCTACGCCACTAACGAAAAGTGTTTTTTTACCTTACCATCGGGTGGGCGATCAACCGTTTTAAAACGTAAAGCGGACGAAGACGTATGCAGAAGCTAGTATTATATATATTACCATAACACTAAGTCGAAAGTCATCTGAGGATGTGACTAACAACTACTTTAAAATGTACTACATATACAAAAATGTAACAATAAAGCGCTGCAGCGCTTGAAAGTTGAGCGCTTCTCTCGGATCCAGAGTGTATTATGTCTCTCGCAGACGGAGGAAATCCCGGCGATGCGATACCTACATACCTACCATAGACTGTACATAACAATATTTATAATTATATGACAGACAGCTGGCCATTGAGAGGGAAACTGTTTACATAAATTATATTTAAAACGTTTTCATCTATACATATTAAAAATTGGAGTGTCTGTTTGTAATATTGAAATAACCGTTTGTACTACATGCATATGAATATAAATACAGTACATACAACCAAAATAACATTTTTTACCGTTTTTGTCTGTCTGTCTGTTTGTTTGTTCTGGATAATCTCTGAAATGGCTCGACCGATTTTGACGAGACTTTTATTGGCAGGTAACTGATGTAATAAGGAGTAACTTAGGCTAATTCTAATTTAGAAAAATAAGAAGTCTCGAGTACAGCTAGTGTACATATAAATTTTGAGAATATATGTCGGTAATTATTGACATTTCATATTGAAATTTGACTACTGGACAATGTCGTCTTAGTACTTGTACTGTGTTTATATTTAGTAAATAATGAGAGGGAATAATTACATAATAAATAAGCCTGCACAATTAACAAAGCGCCATTTTTCCCACGTTTATGCAGAGTTTGTGTTATGGGTACTAGACA